ACAAACTTCAATGCCATACAACTCCAAAAAGTGATAAAAAAAATAAAAACTTTATTTACAGAAAGACCCTTTATAAAATTAATATCAGTGATATATAGAAATGCTATGATAAACATATCATATTCTCTACAATTTATAAAAACACAATATTTATTGCATCAACAGGTTACCTGAATCTTAAATTGACTGGTCTGTCTAAAGATCCCTTTAAGAGTCCCTTTACTCACCCCAAATATAATGCTAAATGTTTAACAAGACATGGTTCTTTAACAAACTTACTACAGATACATACCTGGATTGCTGCACCACCAGGCATCGCACCGGCAACAGGAGCAAGAGCAGCAGCAGGACCCTCGGACGTTTCCCCAGGACAGGGAGAACGCTGAACATCACAGACAAGCACCCTGTCATGTGCCGTCTCTGCCTATAACACAATTAGAAGAAATTTTTTTTTACATCTGATGAACTAATTTCACAAAAAAATACCAAAAGAACACAATTAACTGACTCATATGCATCATTATTGTCAACAGTGGAAACTTCATAACAAATTTCAATTAAAATAAATTGATACCTTCTTCTTACGAGGAGGGGGCTCCACACCTGCAGTGTCTGTCATGCACGGCATGGGTGAATCCTATATATAAAAAAATACACAGGGATAAAAGATCTGTTATAATTTAATTAAGCAGGTCCTTAAATAATTTAATTGTGCTATACAAACCTGCTGTCTAACCCGCCTGGTCTTCAAGACAGCTGGATTCTTGCGATGTCTCACAGGTCTCTGAAAAAACTACAAAAACAATATTCATCAGCATTTATAGAAAACAACATCTATTTATCTGATAGTTAATATTTTGTTAAAAATTACCACGTTGCCTGTGGGAACATCGCCAAGAGCCGATGGAGAAACTTTTTCCATGGCAACCAACATTTCTTCTGAAAACCGCACAGGATTTAGTGGGATGAAGCACTCCCTCAAAGCCACAGAAGTGCCATCCGCCTGTTCAGGAATAACAACAAAAAATACATAAATTTAAATACCATCAACCCATCTAAATATTAATAAGCTGTAACATCAACTATACCTGCTTATGAAACACTCTGCTGCTGGGTGAAGCCGAGGTTGACTCAGATTCACTAGAGTGTTTCCTCTGTAATGGCAAACAGATAAACATATTGAAACA